CACTTGAGCCAATTCCAGCCTTTTCTGTTTAGGTTGAGGAATCAAACCCAAGGTTTTATGCCCTCCACCACTAAGCCACATTCCCAGCCCCAGGGTAATTCTTAATATAGTCTCTAGGTCCATTCTAGTTGACTGGGCTGAGAAAGGTGTTTGTTAGCCCCTTGAAACTATATAAAAGAATGTTAAGTATGAGTTTATTTTTCTCAAGAGGAGATCCATGGAGTCAATCGCATTCTTTTAGAGTCTCTTAAAAAGGATGAGAATCAATGAGGCATCAGGTTCTTGTAGAGCATCAAAAAGACACTACTGTAGAAGTCCACACTATGTGAAATTCAAAAAGTGTCTTTTCTAGTTTCCTGAAGAGGGAACTCCTCATGAAACCAGGAGCAGGCTTTACAAATCCTAATCCTAACTGCATTAATTAAACCACAATGAATGAAAACCTTTAGTTAGAGCTAAAAATCTAGAGGTGTTGGGTATATTGTTTTAGAGGTTCTTAACTATTGTTCTTAACTATTCTAAGACTCAGTTGACTTTGAGGGAGAAAGAATCTATTGTTAAATAATAAAAGAGATATGGTTAATATAACATGATAGTAGAACTACCATTTCTAGATACCAGGCTTATGCCTATAATCCTAGCTACTCAGGAGGCTGAGATCCAGAAGCTGGTAGTTTGAAGCCAGCCCAAGCAGGAAAATCTGTGACACTCTTATCTCCACATTAATCAGCAAAATAATGGAGCTCAAGTGCTACATCCAGCAAGCCAAGTGAACACAAGATCTGAGTTCAAAACCCAGTGCAAGCAAAATAAACCAACAAGACAAAAAATTAAAAAAACATTCTGGAGAATGAGAAGGTTTTGGTATTTACCTCATTATATAGAATTTTAGTGTTTACCATATCACCTAGAGTTTGGAGCTTAGTGACAGACCTTCCAAGGTCCTATTGTTTTAATGCTTTATTTAATTTATCAAGCACTTATATATTAAGTGTTTGTGAAGCACAGTTTCTCAAAGCAAGGTCCTAAGTCTTGGGCAGTTCTTCAGTATGTACTTGCTGGATGCCAACCTGTTATTCTGAATCAGAATTTTGGGGAGTTACCTGGAGGATTCCATGACAACAAAACTTATAACCCGACACATAAGAGGCTGAGGTAAGAGTCTGAAGCTAACTTAGGCAACACAGAGGCTCTGTCTCAAAAAAAGAAAAAAAAAGAATTTAGAGAGTGGGGTGAAAATCTGCATACCATACATGCTTCCCGAGGAACAATGCCTCTTACAGTCTGAGAAGTAAGGCTTTAGAAACCTTTTGCAGCTCCATCAGAAAAGGGTTGCCAATTCTCTGCCTAGATATTTCTGGTGAAAGAGTTTTTGCCAATTCCAAGGCCACCCAGCCTATGGGCTTCCAAAGGCACCTGTTCAGAGTCAGCCAGAGCAAAATATTCAAAAACCACTACTTAGGCTCTGGTGGCTCACAACTCTAATCCTAGCTACTCAGGAGGCTGAGATCTGAGGACCTCAGTTTGAAGACAGCCTGAGCAGGTAGTCCATGAGACTTTTTTTTTTTCTTTTTGGTCATAAGGCTTTGGGCCTGTGTGCTGTCTCTGAGCTCTTCAGCTCAAGGCAAGTGCTCTACCACTTGAGCTTCAGTGCCACTTGTGGTTTTCTGGTGGTTAATTGGAGATAAGACTCTCACGAACTTTCCCGCCCAGGCTGGCTTTGAACCACAATCCTCAGATCTCAGCCTCCTGAGTAATTAGGATTACAGGTGTGAGCCCACCAGCATCCGGCTATGAGACTCTTATCTCCAATTAACCATCAGAAAATTGAAAGTGGCACTGTGGCTCAAAGTGGTAGAGCGCTAGCCGTGAACAGAAATTCTCAGGGACAAGTGCCCAGGCCCGGAGTTCAAGCCCCACAACCAAAGGAAAACAATACAAAACTTCCCACTCCTCCTCAATGCCCAACAGCACAAAGAGTGAGTTTATTCCCTCATCCAGACGCCAAGTACCTTAAAAAGTTAGGGACACTAACATGAATGCCCATACCCACCCCAGCCTTCCATTTCTACTACGCACAGTTCTAGCTCTTTTAGTCCCATCTCACATGGCATCTTGACAAGCAGAAGTTTGAGAGGAAGAAAAAAATGTTGGTTCACAATTTAGCCAATAAGCTAGAATACTTAAAATCCAAACCCTAAAACACCCTGAACCAAGTACTGATGAAATCATAAGGCAGAGAGAAGAGAACAAGAGCACAGGCTTTGGTATCTGCTGCTAGATTAAAGCCTCAGTTCTAATCTTAAACAAGGACCATGACGTGAAGCCAAGGGTTCCTCCTCTGTACAGAAGTTCTCAAAACATCTTAGATTGAAGCAAAGATTAAATGAACAAACGAGCACATGATGACAATTATTTAGAGTTGCTCCAGGAAGGACATTGCAGTTTCTTACCAAACTGTTCCACAAGTGGTCTTAAAACTTCAGTTGAAAACTAACCCTAAGGGTGAGGTTTTTTTTGAAGTTTTTTTGTTTGTTTTTAGTTCTAGTACTGGGGTTTGAACTCATAGTGTCAAGCTCTTGCTTGGCTTATTTATTCAAGGATTGTTGTTCTATCACTTGAATCAGAAGTGCTCCACTTCTGGCTTTTTTTTTTTTTTCCTGTTAATTAGAGGTAAAAGTCTCATGGACTTTCTCAACTGATTTGATTTTGAGCCATCATCCTCGGATCTCAGCCCCCTGAGTAGCTAGGATTATAGGCATGAGCCATCAGTGCTCAGCAATTTTAATAGTAAGAATTTTTTTTTTTTTTTTGGGTCCAGTCATGGGGCCTGAACTCTGGGCCTGGGCGCTGTCCCTCAGCTCTTCAGCTCAAGGCTAGCGCTCTACCACTTGAGCCACAGTGCCACTTCCGGCTTTTTTCTTTTTGCTTATGTGGTACTGAGGAATCGAACCCAGGGCCTCAGGCATGCAAGGCAAGCACTCTACCACTGAGCCAACTTCCCAGCCAATAGTAAGAATATTTTTGATCCTTAAATATTTGGGTAAAATTGATACCTAAGGAAAATCTACCCTTGTGTATAGTGTCAAATACTCCTTGGCACATTGCCCACCTTTCCCAGAGCTTATCCCACACCTTGATCTCCCTTGGAGAAAAGCAAGCTTAGTCGATAAGCAGATAAGCAGATAACCATGATTGGGAAATAGACATTAAAAATAAAAAATTTTAAAAGCTGGGCACCAGTGGCTCATGCCTGTAATCCTAGCTACTCAGGAGGCTGAGATCTAAGGATCATGGTTTGAAGCCAGCCCAGGCAGGAAAGTCTGTGAGATTCTTATCTCCAATTAACTGCCAGAAAACCAGAAGTAGTGTTGTGGCTCAAAGTGGAAGGGCACTAGCCTTACACTAAAGAGCTCAGGGACAGCACCCAGGCCCTGTGTTCAAGCCCTACAACCAACCAAAAGCCAAACCATGCCATAGGACATGACTCTGGGATGACCAGAAGGCTTACCTTTTAAGGACTTAGGGATGGAGTGGTCCAGTTGGGCAGATGACTGTAATTTGCTTTCAGAGGAAAAATTGTCCCTAACCAAATGCAAGTATGTCTGGGTAGAAATTCACAGATGTCCTTCCTTAATCCAATAGGTGTGTGTGTGGGGGGGGGGGGGGGGGACAGGTGGTAGGTATGTAGGTTTGTGTACTAACCCCAAAGAAACAGAAATCTGGTCTGATCTGGCTTTGGGCAGATCAGGGCTGTGGGAAGTCAGTCACTCTCCAATGGCTATGTTTACCATTTTTCTCATTCCAGTCCCCTTCACCCCCCACCCCTGCACTGGGGTTTGAACTGAGGTGCTCTACCACTGGAGTCACTTTTTGGGCTGGAAATTTGCAAGTTATTTTGGAGAGGAGACTCCTGGGCTTTCCTGTCTGGGCTGGCCTTGAACTCTATAGCCAGGCCCTACCTTTTTCCTTGCCAGTGAATTCTGAGGCCTAGAGTGTTGAAAGAGCAAATGGAAAAAGAAGGTGAGTGGGTGTGGTGGCTCACTTCTGTAATCCTAGCTACTAGAGAGGTTGGGATCTGAAGGATTGTAGTTTAAAGCCAGCAAATAATAGAGTTGGTTACTTGCAGTGTAAGAGGGCTGGGATGTCCCAGAATTGATGAGCCATGGGACAGATAATTTGGAGACAGGCACCATACCCATTCTTCTGTCAATGGAGAGAGCAGATGCCCAGTTTTCATAAAATCTGTGAGTCACTCAGGACCGACACACACTGCTCCAAAGAGCACTGGACGCAAGTTGGCAAACTGTTCAAAAGCCATCTGCTTTGATCTCCAAGCCCCAGCTGTTCAAAGCCAAGAGGGATTGTGCCACCCTGGCCAGTCCCACATCATGGAAGTCATAATAATTTATAACTCTCCTGTGTGTGCCAGGCCCCGTGCCCAGGCCACAGATACAGGAGGAGAAAAGTCAGAGACTAGAAAAAAAAAATCTCTGTCTCTGTCTGTCTATCTGTCTGTCTGTCTCTGTGTCTCCCTTCACAGTGGATTTCCATATATGCACATAATGTATTTCTATCAAATTCACCCCTCTCCGATTCTTTCTTACCCTTCCCTCCTTAAAAGGTTTCATTATTCTATGTTCAAACTTGGATCAGATTAGTTTTTTAATAAAAGGCAAGAAAGAGGAAGCTTGTGTTTTTAATGTGTGAAAACCAAGACGCGTTAGGTGCCTTGGCTCTAGGGAGTATTCATCCCAGCGCAGAAACCAAGACTAAGGGCCGGGTGTCCGCCGCCGGGCGCCTGAGTGCCCGCTGTCCCGGGCGGTGCCCGCCGCCGAGGCCGCGGCGCCTGCTCTTCCCCCCGGAGCGCGCGGCGCGCGGCGCGGCTCCACCCCGCGGAGTCCCGGGCGGCGCCCGCGGGCCGGCGGCAGACGCCCCTTCCCGGGCATCCCGAAGGGCCACGCCCCGGCCGGGGCTCGGTTCGCGGGGTCCCCCCTTACCTCTTCGTGCCGAGTCGGGACTGCGGTCGTCCTCAGCGGCTGCGGAGATCCCACCTCGGCTGAACTTATCCCGGGCGGGCCCGCCTCCCTGCGGGGTGGAGACTGAGCCCGAGTTCCTGGTTGTCCCTCGGCCCACGGGACCGACCGGAAAGTCCTCCCGGGCCCCGCGCTCGCACCTGGTTCCCGCCGGGCGCTGCGACGGAGAGCGCGGGGAGAAGCCAGTCCCGGCGCCCCGGCGCCCCGGCCCCGCGCCCCGGCCCAGATCGCACCGCGCGGGCGGGGGGCCCACGGGTCTCGGGTGTCCACACCGTCTGAGGGCGGAGCCCCTCGATCGGAGGCGCTCCGGGCCTGGCCAGGCTCCGCGCTGACCCCCACCTCCTCCCCCGGAGCTCTGGCCGAGCTCCCCGGCGGGAAAAGCAGCGAGGGAAATCGGCACCTCCTGGCACCCCAAACTTTGCAGCCGTCCCGCAGCTCCCTTCTGGCTGCCACCCTTTGGGGGAACGGGATCTGGGAGCAGCGCCCCTCTTCCTCTGGGTACCTGTAAAACTGCTGCAAGGTCTTAGCACCTGGGAGTGGCTGGGGTGGGGGCTGCAGACGCGCCTGCCCGTGTGGTGTCTCCGGCCCACGCTGGAGGCCACCGCCGGGTCAAGCGCCACGAGGAGCGTCCATGCGACGCGGTTGCTTCGATTTCATGTAACAGAGGGTAGGCAGCTTCGAGAAACGTGTGCCAAACAACAGACAGGTGATAACTGGCTTAACAAGTCGGAGAAAGCCGACTCCTACTCCAGGACAAGATAGTGTAGGATTTCTCAGGACGTGGAGCTTGCTGGCCAGGTGCTCCTGAAAGCCGGTGGGACTGCAACCCCGGAGGATCCCTCGTCAGCCGGTACGCGCAGCAGCTGGCCTCCCACCCAGCACAGCGCCCCTTAAGCCACCTGAAAGCCGGTGAAAGATTGGGAGCAGGCTCTCTAAGGGGGAAAAGAAGAAGAGCTCTGCAATAGAGGTGCCAGACGCCGTCAACCAACGATCTAACAAACGGTCTCAAAACTTGGTGACCATTTTATCCCCATTTTATCAAAACTCTTGATGGTAGGGGTGTGAATCTGAACATAGAGTAGCTACACAATCCTGTTCCCGGGGCATCGAGGTCGCTTCGAATAGTCAGCAGGCAGTGTGCAGCCAGTTTGCAGAAGCACATGCACATTCAACCACTGTAGGAAGGAGAGCAGGAAGGCTGGCCTCAGCGGGGACTTCGACCCAGAGCTCCGACACAAGCCCTCCTATGATGTTCTCAGTCCTATGTGATGACTCAGGGTTTCCAGGAAGACTATTCCAAGAGATGCAGGCAGAAGTGATCACGTTTCTTATTATCCAGGCTTGGAAGCTATGATGAACATTATTTCTATAAGAAGAAGAAGAAGGAAAAAAAGGTCACTGAAGTCACTAAATCCTGCTCAGTCTCAGGGGCAGGAGAATGAAGCTCCATCCCCAACTAGATGTGTTTGTGGCTGTATGTGGATAATTTGCAGCCATGTTTAACTAACATAAGGGAAGTTTAGGGCTACTGTGCTGGAACTGAAGAGACAATGAGAATTAAGATGGTGACATTGAACTGCTGGGTCTTCTTCCGCCCCTTGCCTCCTAGAACACTGCAGCCAGAATTGTACTCAGCAATATGGGGAATTTCGAGTCCTCTGCTCCGGTCCATCTAAGAACAAAGACTTAAAGAGTCTATGTTAAGTTTCTTAACAAAACTGGACCAACCTGTTAGTAAACTTGCGTTTATCAAGTCTGAGTCTCTCTTTCTCTCTCTGTCTCTGTCTCTCTCTGTCTGTCTGTCTCTCTCTTACACACACACACCACAGAGCAGCATGGTAGATCTCACTCTGAGGGTTCATACCTATGACATGTCATTTGCCTGTTTCAGATATTTCTGAATTTCAGATAAATCATCATTTTTACTAAAATATAAATTATTTATGTAAGTGGATCACAAATATTGCACAGACACATACCAAAAATTATTATTTTTTTTTGGGTCTGGTCGTGGGGCCTGAACTCTGGGCCTGGGCGCTGTCCCTCAGCTCTTCAGCTCAAGGCTAGCACTCTACTACTTGAGCCACAGTGCCACTTCCAGCTTTTTTCTTTTCTTTTTATGTGGTGCTGAGGAATCGAACCCAGGGCCTCAGGCATGCAAGGCAAGCTCTCTACCACTGAGCCACCTTCCCAGCCCCGCAAAAATTATTTATTTTGTTGTGCTAAATTTGGCATATTTATGAGCCAATAGTGAAAGATCATACGAATTTAGGGAAAGTATCTAACATGAAAGATAGTACCCAAATTCATAAATAGAAACCAGAAGCTTAGAAGAAATAGACTATATAGAGGGAAGAAAACTTTGAATACCTGTTCTCCAAAAAATAGTCATAATTAAAATAGAGTGCATATTCCTAAAAAGGAATACTTAGAGAACCAAACAAAGATCTCTTTAATAAAATATGAGATACAAAGGCAAAAAGCTCAGAGTGGTATGAATATGTGTATAGATGTCTCTCGTGATCTTCAGGGCTTTGGTTCCAGGACCCTGTGGATCATAAAATCTGCAGATGCTCCAATCTCTAGTATTTCCATACAACCTGCACATCTCTTACCATTTACTTTGAAAAGTCTCTCAATTCCAGTCAACTCCAGGGATGAAGTTTGGGAAGACCAAAGTTCCAGGCCAGCCAAAGATAAAAAAAATTATGAAGGCCCCATTTCAACCTGGGCATGATGGTATGTGCCTATAATCCCACCTTTGTGAGAGGCCATAGGTACATTGTGATCTGAGGACCATTCCAGGATACCATACCTGAAAAATAACTAAAGAAAAGAAATGGTAGAATACTGGCCTAACAAGCATGAGGTCTTGAGTTCAAACTCCAGAACCATGAAAGGAAGAAGAGGAAGAGGAGGAGGAGGAGGAGGAGGAGGAGGAGGAAGAGGAGAGGTGAGAGAAAGGGAGAGGGAGGGAGGGAGAGGGAGAGAGAGATTTGGGACTTAGCTCAATAAAAGAGCATTTACCTAGCAAGTGGCAGGCCCTGATTTCAATCCTCAGCTCAAGAAAGAAAGAAAAAAAGAAAAGAAGGAAAGGAAGGAAGGAAGGAAAAGAAAAGAAAAAAAAGAAAAGAGAAAAGAATAAAGAAAGAGCGAGCCTGGAACTGGTGGCTCAAGCCTGTAATCCTAGCTACTCATGAGGATGAGGTCTGAGGATCACGGTTCAAATCCAGCCTGGGCAGGAAAGTCTGTGAGACTCTTTTTTTTTGGGGGGGGGGGGGGGTCCGGTTGTGGGGCCTGAACTCTGGGCCTGGGCGCTGTCCCTCAACTCTTCAGCTCAAGGCTAGCGCTCTACCACTTGAGCCACAGCGCCACTTCCGGCTTTTTTCTTTTTGCTTATGTGGTGCTGAGGAATCGAACCCAGGGTCTCATGCATGCAAGGCAAGTGCTCTACCACTGAGCCACCTTCCCAGCCCTCTGTGAGACTCTCATCTCCAATTAACCACCAGAAAACTGGAAGTGGCACTGTGGCTAAAGTGGTAGAGTTCTCACCTTGAACTGAAGAGCTCAGGGACAGTACCCAGGCCCAAAGTTCAAGCCCCACAACTGATGAGAGAGAGAGAAAGAGGAGGAGGGAGGAGGAGGGAGAGAAGAGAGGGAAGGAGAGAGGGAGGAAAGGAGGGAGAGAGAGTGGGCGGGAAGGAAGGAAGGAAGGAAGAAGAGAAAAAGAAAATTGAATAGGGTAATTAATACTACAATCTCTACCAGCTAAAACTATAATTAAACATTTCTAGCTTTTCTTAACTATAGGGTATATTTATATAAACATTTGTATAAACACTATCTGTCAGTTACCATTCTAAATGGCTTACATATACAATACTGGACAGTTAATTCTTACCAGAGCTCTGAATTTAATATTTGCATACTTGTCAATAGGTATTACTATATATAGTATAAATTATTTACTAATTCAGCAGAACTGCATTAAACTTCCTATGTCAGATTGCATTTTTTTTAATTGATTGCTATAATACACTGAGTCTATTCCAAAACCCCTGTGCCCCCCCATCAAGAGATGGCATTTATGAACTGGGTTTTTGTGGCTCATGCTACTTGGAAGGTTGAGAATAGGAAAATCACAAGTCAAGATCAGCCAGGCAGAAATATCTTCAAGACTCCATCTCAACAAGAAGAAATTGAGCAAGAAAATTTGAATGACAGTAAGAGATCCTGAGTTCAAGCCTTAGTACTAGCGCACATGAATGCTCATGTGTGTGCGTGCATACGCGTGCATGCACAATCACACACACACACACACACACACAGAACAGAGGATGGACTTGAAAAGTGATACAGCTTCTATCTGGTTCTGTCACTCAGCACATGTGCCTTTTGGAGCACACAAGTCCAGCTGCCTGGAAACATCTGTGCAGAAGTGACACTGGGGCAAATGGAAGAGACACTGGGGTGAGCACAGTCTGTGCTAGTCCCTATAACTTGAACTTTCCAATTCCTTTCAAATAACTACACAATCCTGCCTGTCTCATCATAGCCAGATGAGGCCCTCAGGGAGGTCCCCCTAGCCGGGCCCAGTCAGCCATTAAAGCCACAAGAGGAAACAACAGAGAATGGATGTCGGAGTGTGAAAGTAGCTTAGTGGTAAGGAGTTCTTGTAGTGTGTGTGAGGTCCTAGCTTCGCTTCTAAGCACTGCAGGTGAGTGGGCAGGTGGGCAGGAAGGTAGGTAGGGAGGTAGGGAGGTAGGTACATAGGTAGGTGGACAGACAGACAAGGCAGATGATAGATAGATAGATAGATAGATAGATAGATAGATAGATAGATAGATAGATAGATAGATAGATAGATAGATAGATAGATAGATAGATAGATAACTGTTGTTTTATACCACAAAAGTTAAAATACCTTTTGGAGCAATAGAAAACTAGAATTCTTCTATTTATTTATTTATTTATTTATTTTGGGGGGTCTGGTAGTGGGGCCTGAACTCTGGGCCTGGGCACTGTCCCTCAGCTCTTCAGCTCAAGGCCAGCACTCTACCACT